CGGTCTGGTCAGAGACTTGAATTTAGGCCTTTTTTCTGATTTTCTGCTATCTAGTGCAAAATGGACTGCGATTGCGGGGCCCCTAATGCATTCACAGAGAGAAGAGGGCATATGAGGCGCAAACATGGGTGATCTAGTGCTTTGAGTGTCGAGGGGTCATAGAGGTGCTATCGCATAGCTGGACCTTTGCGGAGATCGCATTCATGGGAAGGTTTTCGAAGCCAGAATTAATGATTTGGCTTCTCTTTTCTCATTTCTTTCATTTTTTACTCATTTGAGAGCTTCTTAGAGGATGATTTTCGGGGTTTCTTGAGGATATTCACTTGGGTAAGTGCCTTCATCAATTTCTTATGGAATTCTTCAAGTTTTATCTTCCGAAAGCATCTTCAAATCATGATTTCGATATGGATTTTTGGGAGTTTTTCCTTAAGGTTTAAATTGATATTTTCATGATTTGGAACTTGATTCTTTCTTATTTTTAATCGATTTTTAAACTAGGAACTCATCTTGACTTGTAGAACTTGATTTTCAACAAAAAAAGATAATTTGATCTTACCTTTTTGATTTTTCAAAATCCCAAGTTCAGGTCCTGGTGCCCTACGCTAATAGTATGCCAAGGATATCTAAGCCATTTTTTCCTTATTCCATCCGGCATGAGTTCCTTTTAAGTTGTGGCCACATTTTTCTTCCTTGTATTAGCTCCCATATGCTTCATTTGCCTTTGAAAATCAATGCATATCTTAATCACATGTCTTTTTAATGCATATTCAAAACTAATTTGAGTTTAAAGGGAAGTTCAAGAGTTATATGAAGTTACTATTGAGAGTTCTTGTTTAACCAACAATAACCTTAAACTAAGTATTCTTAAAGGTAACATTTTTATATTGAGAAAAGAGAAACTTTTATTTCTAAAAAGAGTTTATGAGCTCAAATATTTTATTACCTCTTTGAAATGAGATATTTTGAGTAATTCCCTCAAAACAGAGAAAGAATATTTCTAGTTGAGTAGAGTAAATATATTTATTGAGAATAATATCGAGCATCAATATGGGGAAGAGTTCAGGCAAAACTATGTAGTCAACATGGATAAATGATTGTACTTTTTAGACAACCCCTTATTGTTTTCTAGCATAGCTTAGTGGATCCACTTAGTTAAGGTCTTTTATACCCCGACAAGGTATACGACAGTTCTTTCAGCGTGAGGAGACATTATATCATTACATAATTCATTGTGATGGTTGACAGTTAGAGAATCTTCCAAATAAGAGTAAGGTCGAACTCATAAACATATTCCTAAACTTGTTGAATTTTTTCCTTCTTGTACTTCAACTACGCCATTTTCCTATTGAATCATTGAACTATCCATAATTTATTCCTTTTAAACACTGTTGTCTTATTTTGATCGGTTTTTCTATTGCAAATGTCTTTAATTGTATTCTTATTGTAATGATTTTGATTGAAGGAATGAAGAAAAACTATGTATTAGTCTCATTTATTTTCTAATGTGTTCAAATGACTTGGGGTAAAACACAATTGTTCTCGAACATTTTCACTATCAATTGGACAAATGAGTTTTAGAATAACATATGTATCCTCTATCAATATCTCTCATAAAATCGGGTTCCACATCAGCTAGTGGTGTTTAAAAGGAACAAATTATGTATGGTTCAATGATTTAATCAGAATATAGCATAGTTGAGGTGCTTGAGGGAAAACCCCCAATAAGTTTAGGTATCTATTTATGTATTTGGCCTAAGAGTAAAGAGTAACTTATTGTATTTTTTTTATATACATCCTTGAGTAAATATATTTATTTATGAGCTTTAAACATTTCATATTTTGTTATTGCTTTTGTATTGAGTTGAGTTGAGGTAAGTATTCTTCTAGTATTATCGGTTTAGTTATCTACACATTCTGTTTTCTTTAGATACTCATACATTCAATGTACTGATGTTATTCGACTTGCATATTATTATGATGTAGATACAGGTATTCAGGATTATCAACAGACGTTTCATTGAGATCATTTGACACTCCATTTAGCTTTGATGAGCCTCTTGGCATTCCAGAGGATTTCTCTTTTTCCCCTTCAATTTAATCCTTTTAGGGTGTTGTGGGTCTTGTCCGAACATCCATGTTGAACTATTAAGGCTTCATAGATAGTTAGAGTTGAGGAGTCTCTCAGTATTTCTCTTTTGTTTAAGATGTTTTGAGACTATTTTGCAAAGTATTGTTGTTATTGTAATTAAGTATTTTCAGACAATTTTAGTTAAGTATTTGCTTGAGTTTGAATGTTCTAAATTTCATTTCTAAGCTTGTTATCGCTTGAGTAAATCTTCCGCAAAGTAGTCAGCTAGATCAAGGGTTTACTTGAGAATCAAAAATGGTTTTCGAATACCGATCACGTTCACTGTGTAGGCTCGGAGCATGACATACATTTTTGGGCTAACGTATTGACGATAACGACATTTTTGGACCAATCCTTAAACGGATAACATTTTTGTTCTTTTCACATAGTTTAAGAGCATTTTTTTACTCTTTTCCCTTTTATAATGTTAATGAACTTAAAGAAAAAGTCATAAATATCTTGATTAAAAAATAAATTATATGCAAAATAAATAAGTATTACTCTCTTGTCCAACATTAGTTGTCCACTATACTATATTGCATTGTCCAACAATACTTTTCTACTTTATGAAATCAAAGGATAATTTTACACTTAGTTTCTAATTTACCCTTCTCATTAATTATAGTCATTTTTCTATCACATTTTTCAAGACATTGTATTTATTAATTCAAGTGGTGATATAGTAAGACTACCCTTTTATTTATAGTTTTTTAAGAAGCACGCAAAGTCAATAGTGGACAACTATTGTTGGAAAGATGGAGAATATATATTTGATATAATAAGGATTTGGGTTGTTCATGATTATAGTTAAAATATAAAATCGAATCGCAATTTGAACCAAATCAATTAAAAATTGGTATTTGATTTGGTTTGGTTTTAATTTTGAAAAACGATTCCATTTGATTTGGTTTACTAAAAATCAACCGCAAAATAATATCGATAAACCATATATATATACACACGTATTGTTCATAAAATAAAATATAAATGTTTAGTTAGATTTTAGGCCAAATACATAAACAAATTTCTAAACTTATTGGGTTTTCCCTCTTAGGTACCTCAACTATGTTATTTTCCCGTCGAATCATTGAGTCACCCATACTTTGTTCCTTTTAAACATTGTTGGTTGATATGGAACTACATTTTATGAGGGGCATTGATAGATGATACATTTGTTGTTCCAGAACTCATTAGTTCAATTGATAGTGAAAATGTTCGAGAATAATTGTGTTTTACTTTAAATCATTTGAGTACATTAGAACACAAATGAGACTAACACACATTTCTTTATTCTTTCAATCAAATTCATTATAATATGAACACAATTGAAGACATTTACAATAGAGAAGTCAATCAAAATCAGCTAACAGTGTTTAAAAGGAACAAATTATGGGTGATTCAATAATTCAATATGAAAATGGCGTAGTTAATGTACCTGAGGGGAAATACCCAACAAGTTCAGGGCTATGTTTATGAGTTTGGCCTAAATTTTAATTTATTAAGTCTGACTTTATCATTATTTCAAGTCCAACCCTTAAATTTTGGCTCAACTATTACAATCCTAAGTCTAAGTCCATCAAAATCCATTACTTTAGTGTTTACCTATCCTACCTAATATAAAGATAGTCACACTTTCTTCTAGAGTTTTTGGCCAAAATCATCCTTAAACAATACTCCAAACTTAAACTACATCCTTAAAGTATCTATGTTAACACGAAACATCCTCCAAGTATTTAAAAGTGAACAATTTTTCATCATTCTATTTTAATTTATCGGAAAACTAACAGATCCCACAAAAATCAAGTCATTTTTTCCTAATTATTATTTTTAGATACGTTAAAAATATTGTCGTGAACTTTTTCGATTATTGAGTTTAGCATTACGCAAAATCTTTTAATTTGACAGTTTTTTCATTTATTTTTCATATATTTTATATGAAAAATATTATTAGTTGAAATATGTTTCTTCTCCACCGAATATACTAGAAGCGGCGTTTGTTGGAGACTTCCGCTTTTAATAATGTAGAAAGAAACTCAAATGCGAGGCATACTCAATATTTTGGTCACTTCAATATCACACTGGTCCAAAATTTTTATTGATCTAAATACACTTTGACTATGGAAAAAGTAAAGATAATTAAGCTTCAGCTTCTTTCCGTTACTAAATGAGAAAAAGAGCAGATCATGTACCATTACACCTTTGACACATTTTTTTATTTCCGTAAGCAATAATGTTTAAGATTTTAAATATTTTTTCCAGAAACTTCATATAACAAGTAATGAAATTATGCAAGAAAACTTTTGTTGATAGTCACATGAATTGCTCATGTTTTTGTAGGAACATTTAGTTTTTTGACGATATCTCACGTAAAGATGAAAATTGCTTACTTCTAAATACTTGAAAGATGTTTTTGGCCATAAACTCCTTTCTTCTACTTGAATCACTTTGTTCGTGTAATAATAACTCTAGTATTGTTTAATTGAATCGACAATAATTATTCCATGGATTGTTCATTTACTAGGTGTTTATGTCTATCGAAATATGTATATTTTCAAAAAATTTATTACTTTCAATCTTGAAAAATTGAACCAAATCGATAATAACTAAATCGATGATTATTTTTTAATTTGATTTTAAAAATTTAATAAACCAATTAAATTGATTTAATTTTAGTTTTAACCAATAACTGATCCAAATTGAATCACAAACCTCTTAATAATAAGATCAATAGTGCAATGAAAGGAGAGTTTGATTATTATTGGAAGTTGTAGGAATTTGTGTTGCAAAATCATCCACATCAAATTAAATTCCTATGCAATAAATTCATAGTGGTTATCTTTTGCCAATCTTGATTGAAAATATCTCAATAATATTAAAAATTTGTATGATCACTCAATTATTTGAGACATGTCAAATCTTATTTGACCTTTGCCTCCCTCTCTCCTTTTTCCTCTTGAACCAAAATTTTACCAGAAAATTAGTTCAAAGTTTTCATGGGCCTTGATTTTATTTGCCTTGTTAATCTCAGCTTCCATGGCCAATCTTCTACCTTTATCTCACTTTACTATTAGTTCTTCTCTTATCAGATTCCGCATTACCCGTTTTCATCTTCTCCTTATCTTCCTCCATTCTCTATTATAGGACCCATAATCCTTTTCCCCCTTCAAATTCGGATCTTTGTGAAATTTACACAATTTTAAACCCTTTTCTTCTTCTTCTTTACAATTTGAGTTGTAATGGCATCGGTGTTTTTGTATCATGTGGTTGGGGATCTGACAGTGGGAAAACCGGAGTTAGTTGAATTTACGGAGACACAAACAGTGGAGGCGGCTATAAAGGCTATTGGGGAGTCTACGGAATGTGGGATACCAGTGTGGAAGACGAGATCTCAAAAGGGTATGATTGAGAATGCAGAGATGAGGCGAAAAAGGTTTGTGGGTATTCTTAATTCTCTTGATATTGTTGCATTTTTGGCTAGAGAGGAATGTTTGGCTGATCAGGAGAAAGCTATGAAGACTCCTGTTTCTGAGGTTGTGCTTCCTGATAATTCTTTGCTCAAGGAGCTTGATCCTGCCACCAGGTTAGTCTCCTTACTTTTGTGTTCATTGCCAATCCTTTGGAAAGCTTATGATGATGCTGTTGTCTTATAAATTCTATTAATGTAAGTAGGAGATAGCTTTTAGAATGATTGTTGAAAAGTTACTTTGGTTGAGAAGAACACGTCGTCGGAATTTCAAATTTGAATAACAGAATTACTTGGTATCTTTTGCTAGTGGGAGGTGGTAGGTATCCTCTAGAATTAGGTGCAAGCTGGTCCGTACATCACAATTATCAAGAAGACAAAGAAGTTTGTAGTTTGAATTATTGAAAGTTTTACTTCAAAAGAGAGAATGGATTGAGTTCCTTTTTAGAATTGGGACGGAGGAAATAGTGTTTTACTCGCAAACCACAGTTAAGTATTATTCATAATTCAGCTCATAAGTGATCGCTCACTTCTTCAGTACCAATCTGTATAGTTGGTGGATATTACTTCTTGCCAAGTGTTTTAAGACATGAAAATTGAACAGCTGCCATATAATTAAAAGGATAAAAAAAAGGTCCTACAGGTGGGTGTATATATTTCTGGTGTCTACCTGGCCTGACAGATCTGCCAATAATCAATTAATTGACTGGTGGAGCCTCGCGACTGTTGTAAGTTAGTTAGGCTAATTTAGTTAAAGTTTTGGAGAGTTGACTTATGCAGTGTTTCATTTGATTGAATTTGAATTTCTGAGTACCTTAAAGATTTGGGGTTCTCTATTATACTGGGCTGGAAATGGGATGTAGCGGTTGCTGGGTTGTACTCTATGACATGGATATTGGAGACCCCAAGTTAAGTATTGGAGTGGAAAAGTGTAGAGGGGTAGGCCCATACTCTATACATCATTGTTGCTGTCTAACCACACAGTTCAAAGAATGTGTTATGGGATGGTCCTCCATAAGTGTCTCTGCTCTTCCTTTGTCTTCATACTTTGCCATGACAGTGTTGCTGTGTTGGTTCTCTGAGATTCCTTTGGAACCACCCATTGCATGCCCAAGGATTTAGGAAATGCTCCATTTTTACTTTTTTACCTTGCAATAGAAAAATAAAAGTTCTTCAGTTTCAGGGCTATCTTTGCACAAAAAGTATCTGTGACATTACTTGAATCCACTTTTCCTCCTTGGACAGATTTTCTATGTAACCATCCATCCAAAACATATGACTTTTGGTGGATCATTTGTATGGAAATCGTCTTTGAACAAGCTGAATTGCTCATCTTTTCCACTCTTCATTGACCACTGATAATATGAGCGAGAGTGTGTTATCTTTATTGTATTTCCACTTCCCTGTATGTCTTTGTTTCCAGAAGTTGCATGTTCTCTAGTATTTCCAACATAAGAGTTATACTTCCCAACTCCAGATCTTTGTATATATCTCCTTAAGCTCAGATCCCAGATTCTGTCTCTGCAACTTTATGCAGCTTTACATATCAGAGATAAATTTTTGGGGAATCTCCTTGAATGGGGGCATGGTTTATCCATATACCATGTGAAATCTGTTCGTGATGCCATTTCCAATATGCATTCTTGTCAGTGCTCAACTTCACCCATAAATGTGTTTCCAAATGAGCTTGTCACAGGTTTGGAGCACCATTATCTTCCATACTGTGTCAGCTCTGTTGGACTTCCCCATATCATCCTTCTTTTTATTCCCTGGATCGGGTATTCTGATCCCAAATCTCATTAGCAGGTTTTATTGTAAACTCTTGTTGTCTATGCTTAGATTTCTGATTTTCAAAATCCCCTTTCCTTTTTCTTTAGGATATTAGGCCATTTAACAAATGAATCTTCTCTCCTGGCTGTCATCCCATGAGAAGTCCCTTCTTATGTTGGGATTCGATCCAAAGCACTTTTCATAAGTGTCATTCATCCGCCAAATGATGTCTTCTTCCAGGGTGCTAGCTTAGAAAAACTTTTCAGTTCTTAATCACTCCTTGCCTCACCTTGCAGTATTTGTACTTGGAGCACAGTGGAAGACCCAATTATGTTGCAGGGAATTCACTCAGTTGTTGGCTAATTCAGAAATTTGACAGTCTTCATTGCACTGAGAATATGCTGTTTTTTGGCCAAGTTTATGTGATGTTGACTAACGGCTTCAAATGTCTACATATTATATTTAGATGTTGTAGTTGTTCCTTCTCTGCATCACACAATATTAATGTATCATCTGCATATAATGTGTAAAACCTCTAACGTGTCCCTGGCATTTCCTTCAATTCTGAAGCCTCTTATCCAGCTAAGTTTTGAAGCTGTTTTAAGAATAAGACAGTGTCTCCATCACCAGTAAATAGTAATGATGACCTCTTTGGCTGATCAGAGTTTCTGATATTAATAAATGTAAGGGATAATTTCAGAGACCTCCCCTCTGGTTTCGCTCCATAGCACTAACCTTTCTTGTGGTTTACAATATAACGCTTACATGTATTGTTTTGATTTCTTTGTAACAATTGTTTTAAATTGTTTATCATTGAATAAAAGCAGTTACAACCTCACCAATTTGCCGTTCACTGCAATCTCGTAATTAACTAATTAAATTCCTTTGGACTATAAAAAGTTCTAATATCCATGCCCATATTTTCCTCCTCTCTTCCTCCAGAAAAACTGTTTCTTCAACTTCAGCATGCGTCTTTAGTGACTTCAATGTCCATCTAGCTTCTTGAAGCTGCTTTAATGAAAAACTTCTCTAATATTTAAGCAGATATGTTGAAATTGATGTACTATTATTCTAACCTAACCTAAATTAAGTGTATAATTACCTGTTGTCGAGTCATCTTTCTATTTGACGTACTTACTCATATGTAGAGAACACAAAACCTATAGTTGTTTAATCTTTGCAACTTTTTAGCCTCAGGCACCTTATACCTCTTCTTTTGAATCAGGTGTCTATTTGTGATTTTTAATTGCTTGTTGTGTATGACATTCATCTTAATCTAGCTGCACCATATATTGCAAGGCTAAACAATGCCGAAAGCTGTTTTTCCTTTCCCTCTTCTCTGTCGTTTGGAGTTCTTGTCCTTCTCACCGCCAATAGCAAATGTTTTGCATGTTTTGAACCTAATAGTTCATGTGTCCTCTTAATCATAAATTTTTTCAGTAGATTAAGGATCGTTCAGTCAAAGGAACCCCCCCCCCCCCACCCACCCACCCCAAAAAAAAAAAAAAGAGAACGCTGCCACTCACAATGTTCATGATTTCTTTATTGTTCTATCTTGTCCTGAGACTCCTTTCATGGTGCTAGCTTAACATAAAATTGATCATTCTCTAGTTAGATATTTGAACTTCGTAACTTTGCGTTTTCATGCTGTATTGAATGGATAGACTAATTATTAGCTGCTACGAACAGATAGCTTTAGGAGTGTATTTAATCAGCTGGTTGACATCATTATTCAATTTGTGGTCTCTCTCAGTGGTCGGACGATTCATGCCTGGGATGAAGAGTAGAGTGGATGGTTTCTTGATCCTTGCTCATTCAGAATAGAATGTGAAATTGAATTTCACTTAACATGACTAGGTTCTAGTAATAAATCCAGCCTATTGAAGGAGTCTTCTTATTTTGAAAATGCTCAGGGAAAAATTGAAGAATAGCACCAAAAAGTCTTGTTGAGTAACTTTTCCTATAGTACTTTTGCAGAGCGTAGATTTTATCTCTGGTTAGTAATAGCATAACCCCCCAACTTCCACTTCTTAAAAGAATATACCTAGAAGAACAAACATACATCCTTGTATAAAATAAGATCTCCTGAACAGAAACTAGAAGAGGAAGGATCTTGATCCATGAGTACTTTGCACTCGGCGAAAGAGCTATGGATCTGTTTGGGAAGGGTGAAGAGGAGAGGGAGACGTGGGGTGGGTGTGGGGTGGCAGGACCGATCAATAGAGTAAGTGGCCTAAAGCCAAAACTTATTAAAATATCATAAAATATTTTAATGAAATTCATGTATTTTTTTCGAAAGTCACTCTTTTAACATTTTTAGATGCAAAGCTATAAACTACCCTTTAAAGGATTGATTAATTTAATATTTCTTTTCATAGACAAATAAAAATAATTGATTTAGAAAAGTTTAGTTTAAAATAGTATATAAAATTGTCATAAACAGAAAAAAAAAATGTAATAAAAACCAAATGGATAAGTATGTGTAATAAATTATGACAGGTAGAAACTTAACCTTGTTTGCTTACTCTTTTAACTTCTCTAACTAAAATCTAAAAAAAAAAGGTGAAACCTTTTATTTATGATAATTAAAAAAAATTGTCTTAAAGTACTATAAAACTAAGTACTATTACCAAGTTTTTTAAAGTGACATAGGAATGAGTTTGCCCCTATCCCTCTCTCCTCTATATATTTAAGTACTATTTTCAAATCTTACTAAACAGTATTGCAAGGGTCCATATCACCTATAATAGTCAACTTATATGTGAAGTAATAAGACAGTTGAATAATATAATGAGTTTGCTGCTAAAAAGTGAGTGGACGATGAAAGTTTGTAGAATTCTTTAATTGGTATATTGCTGATATATTGTACTTTGCAGATTGATAGATGCACTGGAAATGATGAAGCAAGGTGTGAAGCGACTCCTAGTTCCCAAAAGTGTTGTATGGAGAGGCATGAGCAAGAGATTTTCAATTCTTTATAATGGCAAATGGCTAAAGAACATTGATACTTCTAACCCAGCTGCCAATGCCAACCGTCCATCAACTTCTTCCCCTGTGCCCATTCGTGACAAATTCTGTTGTCTGTCCAGAGAAGATATCATCCGTTTTATTATTGGTTGCCTTGGTGCATTAGCCCCTATTCCTCTCTCCTCGATCTATTCCCTTGGAATCATTAACCCAAACTACTGCTCAATAGAAGCATCACGCCCAGCTATAGATGCCACTCAAAAACTACCATCGGATCCCCCTGCAGTTGCAGTCATTGATCCTATGGCAGATGATTACAATAAGATAATTGGCGAGATTTCAGCCACTAAACTGTGGAAGTGTGATTACTTAGCTGCAGCATGGGCCTTAGCTAATTTTTCAGCAGGACAATTTGTGATGGGTGTTGAGGATAATATTTCCCCAAGTTCCTTACCTGATTTTCCAGTCAATTCTATGGTAACAAATGCGAATACAGCCAATAGTCGTGGTAGTATAGTTAGGCCAAAAAAATTTAGCAGCAGGAGTATTGGGTTCGTCAGCAATCCAACAAACTCATCTTTAAGTGTTTCTAGGAGCATGTATCGTGGCAGAAGTGCACCATTGACATGTAAGGAGACAAGCTCACTAGCTGCCGTTATGGCTCAAATGCTGTCACATCGTGCAACTCATGTATGGGTTACTGATGCCGATAATGATGACCATTTAGTTGGAGTTGTTGGCTACGCTGATATCTTAGCTGCTGTTACCAGACCACTTCCTACCACCAATCCTGAATCCCACTCCTGCTCCAGTATGTTGATTAATTAGGCGTAAAGTTGGTACAGGTGTGGCCAGTTTTATACATTTATGCTTTTCTGTGCATCTTTTCCTGTTTTGCATCTGTTTTGAGGTTTAGATTTGTTAATGTGAGAACTATATGTTGTATACTCTAAAATGTGAATATGTGATATGGTGACTGCTTCAATAAGTTGAAAGGATGGAAATTGAACAATTTGTTCACCTTCTTGTCTTTTTTACAAGGTTTTCAACTTGTTCCACAATGCATACATTTCTCATCAATTCATCGTTTATCTTCATTTTTTATAAACATCAATTTAATTTTTGAACAATATAATTGTCGAAAAACTTGATGCAGGAGCATATGATATGCTGAAACACATTGAGTCCTGAATTCGATGCATAGCATAGATACATGTAGTGTGAAATCATTGTATTTCAACATATATATATATATGGCCTCAGTCATTCCCGGCCCCTTAAAGTTATCCGCATAATTCAGTTAGACACCTTATCTAAGATTTGTTTCAATTGAACACTTTTACTAGTTAAAATATATTCCTATTGAACATTTTCTGACAAACAATTAAAAATAGAGAGTGAGTGACATACACTCGCAGATGATATGGACAATAACCAATAATAAAAAAAGACATGTGGCATTGACCCCATAATAGCAATTAAAAAAATAAATAAAATAAAATTACTTTTTTAGTCAAAAAGTATATATAAAATAAAAATAGAAAATGAAAACCTTTCTTCCTCGTTTCTTCTTTGCATAACACTCACCCAACTGCATCACCTCCATATACATTGAAAACACTTCGATAATGATTGGAGCTCCGATTTTCCTCTCTCAATTCACACAAGGATTTTTTTCCCCCGCTGATATACCTGCCCCATCTCCTTTATACTAAAATTCATCAGCATTGTTGTGCTATTTCTTCCAATCTCACCTCTTTTTTTTGGTCAAACGTCAATTCACATTCACATGTTTCTTTAATTTCTCTACGTTGTAAGTTTTTTAGGGTTTATGAACTTTTTAGCAATTTTAAAAAAATAACTTCAGATTCGTATTAGTCTTTACCGGAAAAAATGGTGTTTCACCGAAATTATTTTTGAGACAATTTGATTGTTATTTTTTTTTTTGATGAAATTCTCTTCTGAAACTCCAAAATAATGTTGATGATATCGAGAATGGCGGAACAATGCTAGAAAGAAAGTATATGAGGAAGGGGTGAGGCAGGGGATGGTGGCTTAGGAATTTGGCTGATAATAAATTAGTTTCTCTTTTAAACAAAAAAAAATGAAACCAAAACAAGATTTTCTAAAGATCGAAGAACACAGAGTGCTTTGAAGAAGATGATTGTTGAAGGATAATGGATTCTGTTTTCCTTTTTTTTTATTAAGAGATCTTTGTTGAACTAAATTATTAATTTTAGTTATTTAATAATATATCTAGGTTTCAAGAAACTACAAAATCAACTTTAAAAAATTAAAAAATAATAGTAATGGGATCTATTCACGCGATCAAGGACAGTGAATTACACTTATCTTGCCACATAAGCATCTTGTGTTTAATTGGAATATGTTTTGAACAATTTAAGGGTTAAATTGGAACATGACCTAGTTGAGGTGTCTAAGTGAATTATGAGGACAACCTTAAGGGATCGCCTATGACTTAAGCCTATATATATTAAATTTTCAACGCATAATTGCAAATATTACTAATAAGAACCTTGAAATATGCTAATCAATAGATTTAAGTTCTGAATTCGCCTTTGAAATTTTCGAAGAATCAAAGGCTCACAGGCTTGGTAATGGGGGAAAGGTGTTCATTGCAGTCTTGCTACAATAATCTTTGAGGGTGTGTTTGGTACAAAGGAAAATATTTTCCTAGAAAATATTTATCTTGGAAAACAAGTGAATTTTTTAACTTATTTTTTCATATTTGGTTGGTGAGTAGAAAATATTTTTTCGATGTTTGGTTGACAATGAAAATATTTTTCAAAAAATATCTTTCATTTTTGGCTTGAGACTGGAAAATACTCTTTAGGAAAATAATTTCTAACCTGAAAATCAATTTTTCAATAAAAATAAGAAAATTTGAAGTATTTTCTTTTTTGAAATATTTTTTAAAATATTCTTTTTTTGTTTGGGGCTGGTTTGAGGTAGGGGCTGATTTGGGGTAGGAATAAAAAAAGTATTTTAAAATAAATAAGAAAATTTAAAAACTTTTAATTTTTTTTTTTGAATGGGGAGGGTCGGGAACATAGTGCGAGGTAGGGTAAGAAAAAAAAACACATAATACATTAATATGTTTCTTTAACTTGACTTCATTTTGTATGTATATCCTTAAACTACAAGCAGACACTTAAACTTGTATAAAATTGAACAAGTAGACACATGGTCATATGTGGCATAATACACATAAGACATCTCGTAGAACACAAATTACCATGTAAGATGTCAAGTAACAAACATATATCTTTTTATTCAATCTTATACAAGTTTGAGTGTCTACTTGTGCATACTCAAGTTGGAGGACATAGACGTAAAATGAGGTAAAGTTAAAGGGCATATTTATGTATTATGCCAAAAAAAAAATGTTGAAGGATGAAGTAGAGAGTTTGGAAATTGTTTTCCTTAACTTTTGAAGAGAAATCATTTTCCTTAGATTTGACGAATATTAGTTGTTTGGAAAACATTTTCCCAATCATTTAAGCAACCAAACATGAAAAAAGTAGAGAACTTTTCCAGAAAATATTTTCATTTAGTACCAAACACACTGTAAATCACCTCAAATTTCCTTTGCAATGAACCAGGCTTGCTTTGATGTGATTATTGTTGCGAGAAAGAGGTTATCATGAACAATCTGCTTAATAAAAATCAACGTCTTAAGATCTTTCTTTTGTCCCACAATCTATTTCCTTTGTCAACTTTGCAAAATTTCGTTCTATCAACGATTTGAGTATCATTTACTTTAGAATTCTGTAACCTTTTTCTTAAAGATGAAAATGAATGATTGTGCTACATTTAGTAGGATGGTGAAAGACGTGCTGTCAATTTAAGAATCATTAGTAGCTTTTGAGGCAGCTTTCAGCGTGACAAGATTTCAAATTGAAGATCACATATATTCGTTACCAAAAGAAAGTTTGGAGATATCAACGTTGTTTATTGGATCAACGCCAAGCGAAGAAAATAAGAACTTTCAAAGTTAAATAGTCAATATGAAGTTTTCTTAGATTCAGTCATTAAATGTGGTAGTGAAAATGACGTGAAATTTCAAGATCGTTAACAGGTTATATGAAGACCGGAGATTGATAATGATCAATCTTTAGCCGAGTTAGAGCAAAGTTTTAGATAATTATACACCTATTAATATTAAATTCAAGGCTTAATTAAAATAGATTTTTTTTCTAGAAGATGTCTGCGTAATTTAGGCACTATACTAATAGTTATAAATTGAAATACAAATTTGATTATTTGAATAAATTAGATTGTTTTTATCCTGGTTTTCAATACATTTCTTTTTTTGTTATTTGAGTTTTTGAATTACTAACTTATAATTTATAAATTTCAAATATTAAAAACTTAATATTTATAATGTAAAAAAATTTTAAAAGAAAAAATTTAACAAACATAAGTTACTTAAATTTAAAGCAATAACTTTTATACTACAAATCTTAAAAACCTGTAACACAAAATGAAAAACTTAGAAAAAAGAACTTTTACAAACTTCACTTACAAGTTACAAACTTATAAGTAATAAATTGGAAAACTTAGAAAACAAATACTTTAATAAAGTACATAACTAATTTACTTATAATATTAAACTTTAAATATTTCAAAACTTAGAAAAATATATTCACTCCTATTACATAATTCAAAATATAAAATTTGTATTCGTTGGCTCAAGAAAATAAAAAGATAGTTATTTTATTAAACTTTATTCACGGTCTCATTTATCCCATTCGGCTTCGTTCCGTTTTGATTCATTTCGATCTCTATGGAACGGGACTGCATTTTCATCCCAGTTATTTCGATTTGATTCATCCAGATCATACAATTTAACAATCCGATTAAATCGATTCATTCTTATTCGATCATTTCATTTTGATATAGTGTCCAGTCTTAGATCATTTTTTAAATCAATCTTCAATAGATGTCTCACCGACAATTTCAGAATTAGGAATCTTTTTAAAGTCTTTTTTTTCCTATTTTCTTTTTATGATTATTTATTCAGAATTTTATGATAATAATGTGTAACTAAATAATCTACTTATTATAGGACGATGATTTCATGATTACATTGATAAATTAATTAACTTACTAATTAGACGTTATTTATTAAATTTTGTGCCCATCTATTTGATTGTTTTTCAAAGTAGTTTGATATTTCTAGGAACCTCTAATTTAGCATTATAAAAATGTTGAATAGCGTGGGTCTTATTATTATGATATTATGGTCTTGAAAGAAATAAAAATGATAATTATAAAATAAATTTTTAGACATGATGACTATTTAAGAAATTTACATAAAAAGTTTTGAGTTCACACACTTGATATACGCCAGTAATATATATAAATATTTTTAAAAGGAGAATCTTATTTATTTATTTATTAAAATCAACTTGTGTTGTTCCCTATCGAATAATTAAAAAAAGGTGTACTTAATTATGTTAGTCCATTTTATACTCGATAACAATTTAATTAGCACATGTTATTTGTCAACGTAAAAGTCCCAATGATTTGTGAATAATTTTCTAAAGTTAATTTAATTAACACATGTTGTAATTTCTTAATTAGTATGACCCGTTAATTAATATTCCCTTATATTTTTTTCATATTAAGAGAAACATATTTTTTCTAATTTTATTCTCAACATTAATAACTTATTCATCAAATTATTTTCTGTGTCTAAGATTGTATATTAATATAAATATTATAATAAAATTTTCATATTAACTATTGTTTTTCAAAAGACGTGTATAATTCAAAATGGATAAGCAAAAATCAACGAAGAATTATCATATTATGATTTTGTCGCTTACAACTCCCATTGTCCAATATTAAATGAACATTTTCTACTTTATATGGTGATTAAAAAATTATAAATAAATTGATCAACTTACTATTTTGTAATTTCTTCATATTAATTAGCTTCTTTGAAGGAAAAAAGAAATTTTGAATCTTCAAATTTGTTTAAACTTCCAAAGCCCATATTAATTGTATATGTAGGGGGTAAAATAAGAAAAAATAATAAATTCTATCATGATTTATTAAGTGATCAAATAATATTTTCACTTTTATTTGTTATGTTGTATTTTTCGCCAGTTAAATTAGATTACATTAATTCAATATTTTAAATAAATAAATTAAATATTTAAAAACTATAAGTTGTAATTTTTTGCATAGCAATATAATGAAAATATATATCGTAAAATACAAATTAAAGTCTTTATAAAAAATATGACAATCTAAAATGAACAAATAAAGTATGAGATAAATATTTTTAGTAAAATGTACGTATAATATGAGACGAAGAGAGTATTCAATTGTAGCCAACCAAATTTTACCAAAAAGAAATAGGAGACTTTCATCACTTCCCATGTTAGAATTTTCTCAAGTCAGCCATGTATTAGCATTTATTGGGGTTGACAAAAAAAACCCTAATTAACGCTTTTTATATTATTGACTACTAATTAAAACTTGGTTTACTATATTGCAAATTGTTCTTTAATTATTGCTTTAATTTTGTGTATTACTAGGTCTTCATAGATCATTAGTTTGACCAGATGGGGATCTTACATGTAAAAGTTATGAATGTATTGTGTGTGTTCATACGAGTGAAAATATTTTTTCGATTCGATTTTCTAGGAAAATACGTGGGTTTTATATTATTATTGTGTTTAATATGTATTTTAATGAAAATTATAACATAAATTTAGAATAATAAAAGTTGACTCAAAATTTTAATAAGTTCATACAATGATGTTGAAATAGTTGCTTTAAATTACATAAGCTGATATAATAATATTAAAATCGTGTTGATTTGTTGCAGTGCTTGAAATATAAAGAATCACTACATCAAAAATAATTACTAGCGGGAATTAATTTTTAATCGTTGTTAAATATGTATTTTTAGCGGCAGTTAGCACTTTTTGAATATGTCCCTAAAGCTTTTATCAACATTGATTCTTATAACACTTAACTAATGTCGGTAAAGACTTTAGTACTCTTTATTAATATCAATATTTATTTCTGTTAAAAATTATTTTTGTTATGGTGAATACAATAAAAAATAAATATGTTTAATAGACTTTAGAATACTCAATAATGAGAGAATAAGAATATAAAGAGGAATAAAAAAGGTAAAATGTTAAGAATAATAATGTGAATTTATGATAATTGCCAAGATATAAATTAGTCAACAACATAAGTAGTCACCTAAGAGAAAGAACGTTATAATTGACTACACGCTATTTCATTTCTCAATTATTACAACGATATACACATTAAATAGAGTAAAAGAATTACTATTTATATTTTCTATCCAAAAAATTCTTTAGAAAAAATTGAGGGGTCCTAAAAAATTTGATATCCCAAGCAGTTGTTTTATTGGTCTTATGATCGAGATGACCTTGATAATTTCATCCTGAAAACATTTGTTATAATTTAGATAAATATGAAAGGGATAGGAGTGTGGCATGGTGGATTGAAGGACGAGGAGAACACAATTAATATGGAAAGTCACATATGAAACTTTTTTTTTTCATTTTTATTAAGGAAGTAATTTTTTCTAGTCGTAGGAACTTATTTTTCTAAAGAAAATGTTATAACAATTTTATTGACCAGCCGAACATGATTTTTAAAAAAAATAAAAGTACTAATTTCCTCTAAACCGAACACATCATATGAATTTTGAGTTCGTCTCCTATCACAACTTGTTTAATTTCCTCAATTTGAAATTTGTTATTTATAATTACTAATTAATCTTTTAACACATATAACGATATTTGAGTTAACGTTATTGTGTGTTCGAACGAATTGATAGCATATTTAGAATTTTGAGAAGATAAATGCATTATTACGAAAAGGTTTATTTAAACTATTAATTTGTCCGACTTGACCTTTAGATTGTTACCACCAAACTTAAATCAATTTTCTTGTAGGAATTTCCAATGTAACAAACTTGAAAATTTGAAAGATATTAAAATGTCAAAAGTGTTATGAACAACCATTTAAAGAGATATCACCCAATTTTAGAAAGAAAGAAAAAACTAAATAAATATAAGATTTAAGTTTATAACCTCACTTAGAGAGAGGTACACTTAATCATCATGATATTATACGATATTTTAAGTACGAGAACATATGTCCATATTTACATATTTTTTTAAAAGTATAACGAGAAGCATGAATTCACGTAAAACTAAAGCAAAGTCTCCCAAAGATATGCCCTCTGGCCAGTAATCACTAAAGCACTCTATGTTTGACTAGGTACATTGTTGAATAGACTCAAATTTAAAATAACAAGTGTTACCACTTCCCACACATGATAGGAATCTATCTTACTAATAATAATTAGTATATAAGTAGTTGGTGTTTAAGGTTACATAACTCAATATAATTCACCTACATTAATATTTTCTTCATCACAACTAGCAACCAAAAGAAAAAAAATGATAGAGTGGCTAGACATTTACAAGGTTATTGAAGCTATGATGCCACTTTATTTGGCATTAGGTCTTGGTTATGGTTCTGTAAAATGGTGGCACAAACTTAGTGCTGAACATTGTGATGCTATAAATAGGTTAAACTACTTTTTTGTTCTTCCTTTTTTCACATTTGACTTCATTTCACAAGTAAATCCCTATAAAATGAACTACCTCTTCATTTGTGGTGACCTTATTGCCAAAGCCATCATTGGTTTTTTTCTAACTTTGTGGGCTAATTTTTATAGCAAAGGGAACCTTTCTTGGTCCATAACAACATTCTCATTTTGTAGTTTAACTAATGCACTTGTTATGGGAATTCCTGTAATGAATGCTGTGAGTCCTCAAGTTGGTGTTGACTTAGTGATTCAATCATTGGCAATTCAATTTCTCATTTGGTCTATAATTATACAATTTATGATGGAATTCAAAAATGCCAAAGATGAGATTATGGCTTGTGAGGGTGCTAATCAAGATTTAGAAGGAAATAATAATGCAAGCAAAAATACAACACCATCTTTGGGGTCAGTAATGACAATTGTATGGACTAAGCTTTCCAAGAATCCCAACTTTTATGCTTGTTTTCTAGGCATTATGTGGTCTCTCGTAGCTGACAGGTACGTGTTCAACTGAATTTCGTTTCGAATTGATTATACGTATCCAACAAGATTTTGAAATTATAGATTATAACAAATCACTGTCTATTTTAAATCTCGAATTCGTCTCTCTTTAATTTTAGGTGGCATTTCGGACTGCCGAATATTGTGAAGGAATGCATATCAATAATGTCAAAGGCAGGAAGTGGCATTGGAATGTTTACTATTGGTGAGATTTCAAGACTTAATATGTATAATTCATCTAACCTATTTAAATAGGCTTCGAGCCATGAGACAGAAAAAATAAATCTTGAATCGAACTCAACTCTAAAAAGAGATCAAAAAATTGTTCAAAACCATATAAATAGTTCATGTTTCCCTCTCTTAGCCAATATAGGACATCAACATACACTCTACACAGCTAAGACTGAATATCTAGAATGTGGAGAATATAAAATTGAAGGACACAAGAGGAGAGTACATCAAAAATATTGAATTAGAATAAGCCTGAATCTAATACTACACAAAATAAATGAATATGTGATCTAACTTAACCTCAAAACCTAAACACTTATAAAGAAAGAATTATCCAAACTACTTAGTGTGACCCAAGGAAAACATTCTTATAGAATACATTTTACATATTGCATATTATTAATATTATATCATAAAATAAATATAAATTTGATGGTCCATAAATGCAGGGGTATTTGTGGCAATGCAACAGAAAATAATGGCTGGTGGGACAGGTGTCATAATATTTGGACTATTTTTGAGGTTTTTTATAGGACCAGCTACCATGACTATAGGATCATTCCTAGTAGGTTTACATGGCAATGTTTTTAGAGCTTCCATACTTCAGGTAATTTTATCCGCGTGTTTTCTATCCTCTTCAAATTATACTGAATATATTATTATTAATATTATTTTAAAAAATAATATTATTTTTAGAGAATATAAAATGTATCGGTATGGTCTAAATAAAATTAATTATTATTTTCTTTGTCTCAATTTTATGTTCAGTACGTATGTGAAAGTCAAATTTAATATATGTTTGAGTTTAGATTCTCTAAATATTTAAAACTATAATTTACTATTTGATATCTGTACGGAAAATATCTAATGAATATTTAAAATATTTTTGGAAAAAGTTATTTAAATCCCTAAAATTGTTTTCATGTGAAAATTTAGAATCTTAGATGGTGGAAGTATTACTTATTTTTTAAAAAAAATTATGTATATATTCGAATCGTCGTAACTATTTTACTTGATAGTAATTTAGTTTCTTGTTTCCAATTTTATCTTTTTCAAAGTTTTAGTTCATTAGTGACAACTACACACACTATTTTACTTTTACAGAAAATAAATACTAGTGATTAATGTTAGATCAATTCTAAAAAATATGTAATTTGAATAGACCATGTGTTCATGGATATCACTAATTAAAATTTACGCATATTTTAATTATTATCAAACTAGTCAACTACTTAAAATAACACATATTTTAATTATTATTATTATATTTTATGATTGAAGGCAGCATTACCCCCTGGCATAGCCTCCTTTGTTTTGGCAAAAGAATATGGAGTTCACCCTGAGATTGTTAGCGCTGTGTAAGTTATTTCATTCATAATTAATTTCTTCTTAATATTTATCATCTTATATTATAGTTTTTTTTCTCCTATTTACTTTCAATTCATATCCATTTGGAATAATATAAAGGATAAAATTTAGGAATCACATAGTTTTAACATAAAATTATAATGTATCTCTTTTTAATTTGTAATTACATTAATTCCTTAAAAGGTAAAATAAACGGATATATAATATGTAGCTCGAATATATTAAAGAGTATCTAAAATACATTATAATATAAACTATATACATAATATATAGCTCAAATACATTATAAAATAAAACTGGATACATATTATGTAGCTTAAATACATTAAGAGCATGTTTGGCTCAGCTTAAAAGCTGGTCAAACTGACTTAAAAGCTGGTTTTTGACTTATTTAGCTGTTTGGCAATACTCAAAATAACTTATTTTAAGTTAAAAAAAACTTATTTTAAGCCAAAAGTTAAAAGCTGGGGTAGGGGTGCCTTTTTTTTAGCTTATAAGTTGTTTTAAGTTGACCACATTTTTATTTTTTTGCTCTTAATATTTTTATACAATCTCCAAATTACCCATATAACCCTAACATTTCTTTGTTCCATTTTTCCCTTTTCACGTTTGACATAACAACTTCAGCACTTTTATCCAAACGCATAACTGCTTATTTTAAAAATAAGTTCAGCACTTTTAAAAGTACTTTTTTAAAGCTGCTTTTATTAAGCCCATCCAAACGGGTACTGGCTCGAATTTATTAATCTGTAGCTCGAATACATTAAAAATAAGTGATTTTAGAAATTTTTAGAAATAGCAAAAGGTATTGAAAATAAGGAAAATATAAGACGTATATTTCAATAATTTCTCCATAATATAATATGTATATTAGAGGAAAAATTAGTCACTTATATCAAATCACACCTAAAAAAATATGAAATTAGCTACGAAATTTGTGGGATAATCCCTAACTAATGTATCGCTAAAAAACTCCTACATTATTGATTTTTTTTATGATTTGTAGCTAACACGTAGCTAAATGAGATCAGCATTGTCTTTTGGTTGTTCAGTTATGAAATTTTATTTGTTACTAATTTCTTATTTTCTAAAAGTATCATTAATTTAAATAATTTATTGGCTTCAATCTATAAAAATACAAAATTTTACTAAAGTAAATGATATTGTAAAAGAATACACTTTCACCATACCAAATGGATTTTTTTCTTCTTCATTTTTTTTCCTTCTAATTTTCTGATTATTAAGACTAATGTATGTGAATTTTTTTAATTTCAGGGTAATTATTGGCATTCTGGTGTCACTTCCCATTATGATTGCTTATTATGCAATTTCAGAGCTTACACATTGATCCCATTTACAATTTACTGACCCACAATTAGTCAATTAATGACTTAATTACTCCTAGTTATCTTAATAGTATTTCTTTTTTCAGTTTCTTGTAATCTAGGCTCCTGTATTATTCTTTGTTTTGGGGTCACAAAGTTGACCATATATAAAGGAATTGTTAATGTAACATTTTAATATTAATAAAATTATATCATATGTTATATTATATATCATGTTATGTTCGTTGTAGCCATTATATTTGTGTCTCTTTAGTATTATCAATTATGGAAGAATGTGGTCATTAGTAATCAGTAACTCTTTACTCTTCATTTCACTCGTTAACCTTTATAACCTATAAGCCATGTATTTACCAATTTACGAGTTATTATCCTCCTATTCATTGCAATGAAGAATTTCTTACCTATACATAGTCTTTGTACCAAGTACACAAGAAATGCGCAACAAGAAATAGATATGTAAAAGAGTGAGAAAAGATGAGAAGTATTATATTGAAATTAGTGTAGTGAAAGAAAGAGTCGAGACAAAGAATAATATTTCAAGTCTTCAACTAATTTACTATATACATATAATTATATGTTGAAGGAACGTGTTCTTTTTTGTGAAACTTTGAACTCTTGAGCTAATTTTGAGTTGTACAACGTTGTTTGACCATTATATTCTGGAGGGGATAAATAAAAAGTGATACTTCTAGATAGATATAGATTATGCCGCAATAAACTTAAGTTAGATATACACACTCCTCCGAAATTAAAGATGACTTCTCTCTACCTTAATCTACAAATAAAAGATGACTTTTGAAAATGTTTAGACTAGATCTCTTATGAATCAATTTGGGCTACACAACAGTCCATATTTGATGGACAAAATGAGTTGGGTTGAGCTAATAAATAAGGATAAATTAGCGAAACACATATTTTTTATTTTATTTATTTTTATTGTTCTCTATTATTTTTAAAAATTTCCAAATTTTTTTATTTGTTTATTGTATTTAAGCTGCATATTAATGTATTTGAATCAGTATTTAATATATTAGAGTTATCTATTATGTATTCGAACTAGTTTTTAATGTATTCGAGCTACATATTAATGTATTCGAGCTATATATTATGTATTGAAGCTGATTTTTAATGCATCTGAGCTACATATTAATGTATCCGATATATTATTTAATGTATCCAAACTACATATTAATGTATTCGAGCTATATATTATGTATTGAAGCTGATTTTTAATGCATCTGAGCTACATATTAATGTATCCGATATATTATTTAATGTATCCAAACTACATATTAATGTATTCGAGCTATATATTATGTATTGAAGCTGATTTTTAATGCATCTGAGCTACATATTAATGTATCCGATATATTATTTAATGTATCCAAACTACATATTAATGTATTCGAGCTATATATTATGTATTGGAGCTGATTTTTAATGCATCGGAGCTACATATTAATGTATCCGATATATTATTTAATGTATCCAAACTACATATTAATGTATCCGGGCTTCAATTGTTGTATCCGATTCTTTTAATTTTTAAGGATTTAATGTAAATAGAAACTTATTAAGAATAGATTTTAATTTCATACTAAAACTACAAAATTTGGATAATTTACACAAATAAATAATTGAGTCAATACTCCATTCAAATTTGGACCAGTTTTGATTTAATGGGATAATTTTATGAGACAATTAGTCAAATCAAAATTTAACTATTACTTCAACTAAATTTTGTCACTATTTCCAAACAACATAAATGTGAAAAATCACTAATTCCAAAAGACCTTATCATCACTAAATTGAGCATCAATTGTGTAATCTAAACTACTTCGACTATATAGATACATGTTTTTCCCAATGAAAAATATATATATATATATATATATATATATATATATATATATATATAAATATCCTCTCATATTGTGAATATTTGAAATTACAAGAGGACCTTTTTTTTTATTAAAAAAAAAAATCAACATGAATTTATACATCACTAATATAATCTTTTTATTTTTCTTTATCTTGTCCTTGAATGAAGTAGTTGGTACAACAAACTCTTCAAAGGGTCCTTTAACTCGTTATCAAGAATGGGTTGTTAGTGCCCTCCCTAATGGTACTGATCCTTTATTTCTTCATTGTTGGTCCTCAGAAGATGATTTAGGAACTCATTTTCTTCAACCTAATCCTGAAGGTTTTCATTGGCATTTTCGCGAAAATATTTCGCAATCAACTAAGTTCAAGTGTGAATTTGTTTGGATTAACAAGAACATAGCATTTTATGTCTTTGATAAACACTTATCACACAAGTGTAAAGGTCGTGGTAATATATGTTATTGGTTGGTTATAGAAACTGGCTTCTATTTTGCAAATTATGTAAACCCTTTTCCAAAAGACTTAGAACTTATGTATACATGGTGATATAATATATATGATTATTATTATTAGTATAAAATATACCAAATATCAAATACTAATGTGTCTTGTTAAATGTTTTTTTTCTTCTTTTGATACATGCAATTCATTACATGTTAGGAGTATTTACTAACATTGATTCATTTTAAACTCACAAGATTTAAATGTGACTATATGTGTTTTGGTTTTATTATGATCACTTAAATGGTTGTGATTTCACATATACTGATTCAACTTTTATTTTTAAGTATTGAAGTTATTAAATTACTTTTTTGTAATTAAAAGTCACTTAGGGTTGTTCACTGTTTTATTCCAATTTGTTTGGCTTGATTTGGAGTATAGGGAGAAAAATGACTATTGTTTGTACGTTTCGAGGAATTTGAATATAATTTTTTGGCTAAAGTCATCAGCGGCCCCTTAAAGTTGTCCGCATAATTCACTTAGACACTTCAACTAATATTAGTATCAATTGAACATTTTTACCTATATAATAATTGTTTCTATTAGACATTTTTTTATAATCAACAAAAAATGTGAAGAGTGTGCGATACACTTGCGGTGACCATGACTAATGAAAAAAAAATATTTGGCATTGGGCCCGAAAATTATAAAAAAACACACATTTAATATCTAATTTTTTTTTTTAAAGAAAAATTGTCAACCTATTCTACCCCACCTTACCCACCCCACCCCAACCCCCTTTCATCTTCATCTTCATTTTCTTCCCCAAAACACATTCTTTCTCAAATTACAAAATCTTATTCTTTTCAAATAACTTCAAGATTAATTTTTTTTTTTCATACTAAGAGTGAAGATGAAAGAAAATTTTGTTGGCGGTTATTCAACTCTACATCGATGACAAAATGAAATCGATAGCTCCAAAATTATTTCTTTCAAATTCTTTTATATCATTTTTGATAAATTTAATGACCACATATGAATTTGAGTAAGAATCTTTGTTCGAAAATTGTGATAAATATCGGCTAACTATTTTTATACGTAAAAATCATTTATCTTTTTTCATCTTCTTCATACTTAATCCTTGTTTTTTTGAGATTTGAAATAAATCATACGAAGACTTTCTTTCAAATCTGAATCTTTATAGTTGATTTTCATTTATCTTCATATTTGGAAGATATAATTTTTTTGTATATAAAAAAAGAAAAAAAAACAGTGTTGAAGCTAAAATGAAGAAAGTTTTATAAACTAAACTATGAAGAAGATGATAGAAAGGGAGTGGTTCTTTTTTGAAAAAAAGGTCTAAATAAAGAAGAAAATATTTTTTAAGTTAATTATAATGCCAAGTGTCAATAAAAAAGAAAAAATGTAAAAAAATAAAATAAAAAAGACACTATTTTAAGTCTTTTCACGCGCTTCAGGAAAGTGCAATACACATTTTTTGTCATATCAACATTTTGTGTCTAATAGGTACATGTTTTGAACAATTTAGGTGTTCAATAGGTACAAGTCTCAGTTGACGTGTCTAAGTGAATTATGCGGACAACTTTGAGGGGCGGTATATGACTTAAGCCAAAAAAATTTCAATTATTTTGAAATAAACTTATATATTTAGAAATTACCTAATAAGTGTTATAAGTCACGCTAGCTAACAAATCAAACTATTTTGTAAGTACATGAACAATTGTGGTTAATAAAAATATCCTTTGATTATTCAAATTAGGGGTGTTAAAAATGGGCCTAAATATAAGTAAACTGTTCATAATTTTAAGCGTTGGGTTCAAGATAATTTGAGTTGAGTTCAATCTCATCTCATTCAAGTCTTAACTCATAATCTCATATTAAGAGAATCCTCAATTGAGCACAATTTAATTTTCAATTTCAATTTATTTTAAAACTCTTTATTTACATTGATGTAATAAATGTTCGTATATTGAAGATGTGAATAACTATCTATTTTATATCTTTTAAACTATCTATCCATTTATAACTGTTTACTACTTAAATCACAAAAATATTTTCTCACTATCTATTCAATTTAAGATGCTCACTAATGAACTCAAGCTAATAAGTCACACAATCAACTCCTAAATATCTTTTCATCAGTATATATTATTATTATTATTATTATTATTATTGTTAGTTCATATTATATTTTACTAAGAGTGGAAAACTTAAAAGGGCGAAGTTGAATTACCACTTTATTTCTATATTAAATTAAAAATAATAAAACATCTAATTAATTAAAATATATTTAATAATATTATATTATATTAAATTGTTAAAAGTGGAATATTCATTTTCGTACGTTACAGAATATTTTGTGCAGTCAAACTGTTATTCATTGCAATTTGTGACTTTTTATATTCGAAAGAAGTGAATAGGTATTTTATTAATTTATTTATTTTCCAAACTAAATTAGATGGCTTATTCCTCCTTAGCCTCTTGGGCTTATCCATGCTAATTATGATTACTGAAAGTTATTATAATAGTTGTATCATAAAATATTATAAATTGAGTTTCACCAAATTTGCAAAAACTAAAGAAAAAACCAAGACATTCCATGCACACGAATTTTGAAAGTGTCAAAGATCTAAATATAGACGTAATGATACTTGTA